TCTGATGACACTGGATCTCATCTACCTATGATTTTAAAATTAAAGGTATTAAAATGTTCCTTGAATTTATGTATGTGTGTAGTTGAAGAGATTAGCATTAGATACTAATCTAATCAGTAATCAGTTAGTTACAGCCTATCAACCTCATTATGCTGTACTGACATGTGTATGTGTAAGACTTTGATCATGTAGCTTATCAGTTTTAAATTTGTCATTATGTATGGAAGTACATAAGCTAGTCAGAGTGATGTAGGAAAATCTTTTTAAGGTACTGAACTGTTTGACAGTTTTCAAAGGTATAATATATTACATATGTGTGGGAGAAATTCAGTGGTTATGTGAATAAAATATAGTGGAATCTTTGCTATTGATTCTTCTTGTCATATTTTCTGAAAGTAATCCTACATTAAGCATCTCCTTCTTGTAGTCAAGTGCTACTTTATGATTCCATTTCTTATTTAGAAAGTGTAAAGGTGAAAGGTCAGCAGGCACACATGAGTAGAGTCCTTCTTGACAGGTTAATTGTTTCTAGTTGATGTAATTAATGGTTGAATCTGCAGCAGTAAAAAATCATGAGTGGTTAGGAATGGAATAAATCAGGAAAGTTTGAATAAAAAGCCTTATGTAAATTCTTCATCATAGACACTAGTATAATTTTATTGCTTGAAAATTTACTTAATAGTAACAAGAATAATTCACAACCCATTTTATGTGCTGTCTAAGATTAATAAAAGTGATGAATTAAAAGTTAGGAATATTTAAATATATATGAATGAAATATCTTCACTAGGCTAATTACCCACCTTAAGACAGAATGTGATGGGGTAACAGTATGAGTAATGTTTGGTTCTTAAAACAACAAGCAGATTATAATAATGTGTGTGTGTTTAGTCTACTTCAAGTCTTCTGAAACTTCCTTGGAGAGTGTGTATCATGAGTGAAGAGTTTTCATTTTGTTGATTGTTTCTGCGGGTAATGATAGACTTGGTACTTAATAATTTCATGTCATCAAGACGAAGAACGCGTTCTCTCTTAGCTGCAATTTCCTTTTTCCAGAGATCTAAAAGTAAATATGCATCAAAAGGATTTAATATTGAAAACTTCAAATCAGTGAAGAAATCACCTTAAGTATGATACATGGCCGTATTCCAGGTACACACGCACACAGAGGAACAGAACACACTCTGAAGTCAGAATGATGTATCTGTACTTTATACTGATATTGTAATGCAGGTTATTATATGGTTTACTAAATTCTTTTGATTTGTGAAGTTCCCTGCCATTTGCTGTTGTGTGGAGAGTGGTTTTTTCTTCTTCAAATTTTAACATTTCCAATAAATATAATCAAGTTTGGTCTACAGCATAGCATAAGGTTCATCATGACCTGTGTCTTCATCCAAACTAACAAGTTTGGAATGTTTTTAGTGCCATTTAAGATTCTTGCAATCCCATCCCGTTAAATGCAGAGTATAAAATTCAAAATTACTTGGAAACTACAGTAACAAATCAAAAGTACATTTTTGAAGAAATTAACAGTTTAAAGTCAAGGAATGTTTGCTGCCATTCAGTTCAGAATCCTTTGTCTTCATCTATAAATACAAAGGTTAAACCAGTTGAAGCAATAATTTTTACCTCTTCTTTTACTTTGCATGGTGGCAATCTTGGGTCTTATACATTAAAGGAACAACATAGACTGAGGGAGTTCAAGAACAGGTTGCTGAGGAGAATATTTTGACCTAAAAGTTAGGAGGTAATAGAAAACTAGAGAAGACTGGTTAGTGAGAAGCTTCATAATGGTTAGAGTGATTGATTCAGGGGCTGTAAGCAATGCATACAAAATTTTAATTGGAATGCCTGAAGGGAATGGATGGCTTTGGAGACCTCTTAGGCTTAGATGGGAGATTAATATTGAAATGGATCTTAAAGAAATTGGATAAAAGGAAGGGTGTTTACTGGATTCTACTGGCTTTGATAGGGATCAGTGGTGGGTTGCATCATTAACTGGAAACAGCTTCATGATGAAAATGTAGTTACTGCATAATATCTTCTATTACTTAGAAATGACCTTTTTGCTTCTAATATAATGCGAGATTAATGGAAACTTCTTTCAAGGCACTTTCTACTGGTGGGCATACAGATTTCCACAGAATTAACAAGTTAAGAAACATTGACACAGCATAACAATTGTAATGCATTTGCTCTGTTATTGGTGAGCTACACTGAGATACATGCATGTAGGTCTTCATGTAGAGTATGTTATAGTTGTAAGATTTGATATTCATCTTCCTGATGACGGAGGCAGTATGACCTCTGAAACGTTGGTTAACATTGACCAGACTACACAGCGTAACAACCCAGAAGACGGAAATCTATGTTATAGTTGTTTGATTTTAACCAAAATTGAAATGTGTAGATATAGCTTAGTAAAATGTTGCAATATCAGATATAATGAAAATCCTTTCAGCAGCCAGATGGACAGACACAGGTAGACATGACAATGATAATAGGTGTATTTTTGCAACTTTTCACTGTGAATGTGCCTAATATAGAAATTATGGCAATATGAACTATCTAAACTGATTTAGGATGGAATCCAGAAATTCATCTTGTCATGAGTGTGAACCTTCTGATTTCATTGGTATCAGAAAATCACTTACCTATCATCTCTGCCATTGGCATACTTCCCCCAAGTTCTTTTGGTAGGACTTTTGGATCCAGTCTTTTCTTCAAACTTTCCATAGAGTCATGAAGCTGAAAATTAAATACAAAATTATTGATTTATTACATAACAATATTTAAGCAGCGTAGATAATAATAGGTCAGTATAAAATAAATGTTAAATATCTTCAACATATTTGTATAGACACATTTTAAAACTGGAGTAATTAAAATAAGAGTAAGAATATGGTCTCCAATTTGTAGTATACATACTATTGATCTCCATTCTTTACTATTTTGCATCTCTCACTGATCTTGGCATTCATTTATTGCATATAGAATAAATTTATTATTGGAAAAATTAATGAACTGTAGAAATACTACTGTATATAGCATAACTGCTACTATTGCTGATGAAGCTAATAAGCAGTAAGGATATTGTACCTCAGGGACATTTATTATTTTTGTTTCTATTTCTTTAAAGTATACTACATCATGTAAATCTTAGTCATTTTTGAGAAATGTTATCAACACTGATTTGAGCTTCATCTAAAGTATGATGTAGGTATAGTAAAATAATAACCAGAATGAAATTCATCTGATGGTCTTTAGGGTAAATTGTTTGAGCTCTTTTAATTAGTCTGAGATATGAAACATGTGGATGGACATGCCCCCCTCCCCTTAATTTTATGAATTTTGTGTAAAGAATGGTTAAAAAAAACATATTGAAGTTGCTTTGCCTTAGGATCAGCAAATGTTCTTGTTTTCCACTAAGTAAACTATTTAAAATTTTGAGCAGCTTTCCATATCCCTCAAAGAAATTAATGTTACATAAATGGCTGGTTGTTCCTCAGTGATTAAAGTATTTCAACAGGGCTATGAGAACATTTTTACTTTATGAGTGAATTTCAAGAAATACATCCCTTCTATAAAATGAGAGTTAACCTGTATCATCATACAGGAATAGGGAATTTGAACCCCCATATACTATGGGGCTGCTGGCCAGACTCTAAGTGTGGGGTTGACCATGTAGCTGTGTGCTATTGTGACATACAATCCAATAATAAAGGTTAATTGTTATTTTCTGTTGGTTTTTTATTATTGATACCGTCTTATAATTACTTTCTAGAAATAAAATATATACTTTCTACATCAATAGTATTGACAAGGTTAATATAGGTACGGAACTTTGTAGTCCACCAAGAAAAACTCATTCACTAGTACTTATATTTTTTACCCTGAATCTGCTCCTCATCTTTTCACTCATAATGGCACTAATTAAATCATAGAAGTACCGCACAGCTGAAGGCACATTCACCAGATGAATCTCCTTGTGTCGCAGAGGCATTGATTGCTGGAACAGATTTGTTGTTTTAGTTACATATAGCAGTATGTTCATCACATTACCAGGAGAACATTCCAAAATAACAGTGGGTAAAAGAGTGATATTAGATAACTGAATTAATTTCCCAGTTTAGTAGTTACACTAACATATTTGTTTTTAACAGATTCAGTAATTTCTGGATTAGGGCAACATAGAGGTGTGCGAGGAAGCAACCAAAATGATTCTTTTGGCTTAATGAATTAGAATGATTTTGTAATGAACACAACAAGCATACCTGATTACAATTTTTAGTCTGTTCATTTATTCTACAGTTTTGAAAATATGCTAAAATTCATGTATCTTGGAATGATACATAAATAAAGCTCATGATCATATTGACATTTAGAGCAGAAAAAATTAAGATAATGCTTTTTATGAATTATTAGTTTTTCTCTGTTCAACACAGAAATGGATAAAGAAAAGCAGATGATAATATTTATTCCCATTTGGTGGGGGGGGGGGGGGGGGGGGGGAGAGAAAGACATAAAATAAAGCTGATGTTCATAATGAAATTAAAAGCAGAAGAAATTAAGAAAATTCTTATTGTTCTTCATTCAATTCAGAAACTTCTGTCCTTGTGTTTGTGTTCTACATAACTGAATATTACAGTGTGCCAAGTACGATTCCACAAATCTGTCATTGTTGTGTTGACAGTTGCAAATTACTAATTGCAATTAAATCAATTTTACACCTGTGAATTAGTTGACTCTTTGGAAGAAACACCCCAGTGCCTTCTTGGTAGGAGGCTATGGAAGTTGCAGAACCTTGCTTAAGTCCTTATTTACTCAGCTGTTAGCCAGCAACTTACAAGATCAAAATACAGGACTGCATTTGCACTTCATAATGTATGGTTATGTGACTATAAGAACAGAAATTAAATAGCTTTGAAAACAAAGTTTTGTCATAAGAAAGTGCATTTTTAACGTGGTGTTGTACAATTTATATTCATTTTACTGTATTTGTGTTCTTAAATAAAATTGGCAAGTCATTTGTGATGGGAATAGGTGATTTATACTATGGGGCCGCTGGCCAGATTTTAATTCTGTGGGTGTTTAATGGCAGCAGTATACTGCAGCACATGGCCATCTAGGACCATATATGAGCTGTGACACATGGCCAGTTACGGAAGGTGAGTTGGATACATATGTATGTGATTAACGAACAAACATCATTCAGACAGGGACAGTTTGTGGAAGATAACTATTTAAAAGCTCATATCAAGACAGTATTAAAAATTATATTACAGAAGCAGAATTTTAGATGGTTCAGCTTACCTCGCCCCATCTGACAAGTGTTGTGAACTCTGTGGGTGACCATATGGTGGCATGAGCTGCTGATGCTTGGCATATGTTACCTACATGTGTGAAGCCCATCACCTGTGACTCCTCATCCTCTATGAGGACCTCATATGTTATCATGTGCGCCTTCACCATGTCACCATTGTTGTGTTTGTGAGGGTCAAACTTGTCTGCATTATAAATGCACATTTAATTAATATTAATAAAATAACATGCTAGCTTAACCTGTGGTATAGACTTAACAGGGGTTAAATCAATTATTAAAGTATGTGCTGATTTAATTTTGTGTAATTATGATATGTGTGCTCTTAGGAGTTAGTAAATATATGACATAATGCTGGAAAGCTTTATCCTTGGAGAGGAATTTTGCTGGTGAATGCAAATGATATTATATTTGTTCACAAGAAACATTGACTAGTACTAGTGAAATCTTGTTTGGTAACTTCTTATATAATTGATAACTTACTTATATTGTAGAGTATCACTCTTCGACCATTACTGTCCCTGAAGGGTGATACATAGATGTACCTGAAAAGAATGGTTAGAGTCTCACTTATTATATTTTCTTAATTTAAGTAATACTGTAACTATATATATATATATATATGTATATATATACACACAATTTTGTTCCAAACGGGCTTGTAGTGTTTGAAATTCAATTCCAGGTTAATGATTGTGTACTGTTATAATGACCTTGATTCATGGCCACAGTGAAAGGCCAAAGAGCTTTTTGTACTAGTCTGACCTGTTGTTCTTTTTTTAAGTCGGTTCTATACTGATCATTGTGACACAACGACCTTTTGATTATTCAAGGTCATAAGGTCCCATACTTCAAGAACCAAAGGGTCAGTAAGCTCTTTGGCTTTTCACTGTAACTATGAATTGGGACCATTATAATAGTACTTACTTTTGAATTCTGGATGATAAATATTAAGTGTGTGAAGTTTAAGGGATATGTAAAGCGATAAGAGGAACCTTGAAACAAATTACAGTAAAATGCACACAATTAAATTTAATAAAGCTATGACAGTATCTGTGTTGAATTACAGCTGTGAAAACTGGACAGTGATTCAGTCAGACAAAAAAGAATTGAGCTAGCTGGATTTACCCTCCTATGTTTCAACCTTTATCCACCATGCATCACACTAGCGGACTGTTAAACCGTAACCCGGGAATTAAAGTCTGGCTGGCAGCTATGTATCACAGGGGTTTAAATCACCTATTCCCATATGATAAAGACAGAGAGAAATTCACAGGTACAGAATCCTTTAAATATATGTAATCTGAATTAAGAAATATGAAACTAAAAGAGAAATTTGTATGAAGACATTTGAAATAGATTCCAAAGATACTTTTAAGTTACAAACCAGAAGGACGTGAACAAGAAGATCCAAGACAAGATGGAAAGATGAATTCAACTGAAGACAGAACAGTCCACACGGCCTTAAAGTAGAAGAGGAAGAACATGGTTCTTATTTAATGTAGTTTGCCTTTAAAGACAGGATACAAAGGACTAATGAAAATAAATAATGCTTTATGTGTACTAACCCATTACTGATGAGTTCATTGACAGAGGGAATAAGGTAGTCTAAATTATACACCAAGTGTGAAAATGTTTGTCGGAAATTGATATACTTCAGCAACACCTGTTGTGCCATAGGTAAGCTGAATTTCTTCACACGTAGGAAGCGCAGAAGGAAATTGTCATCTGGAAATAAAAGAACATAAAAAACTCGTAATGTACAAAACTGTATATTCTGTTCACACATGCATTGAAAGCCGAATTTACCATTCTTAAGCCTCACTTTATATTTCTCGAATTGCATTGTTGTCTTTTAAAGAACTGGTGGCCAGTGAAGTGTATTTGCTGGACCCGTATCTGTTATACATGTGAGTATATACTACATAGTTCTGAAGGTAAAACTAAGGAGCCTGTCTCTGTCATGGATTACAACATCAAGTTTTTAGGTTCAAGAATTTTGTAGTTATGAAGTTCCTTGTTGGGGAACAATTACATCACTGGCTTTAAACACTCTTGACTATGGAATTCAAACGAAAACGGACTCCAAATTGAGAAACCAAGTTCATCTCCACTCTGCTGTTCATGCACGCTAAAACAATTCTCTTAAGCAGCTCTGCCTGCTAATGGCACTTACCACAATGACCATATGACGACCTGTTACATAACTACAAACAACATGTTTTGCTGGGAGTGTCCGTGGAATACTTAGTTACCTGTTCTGCACCTGCAGATGTCCTGGTTCTTGTTAATCCAATCGCGGAACTGCTGCAGCGCCTGCTCGCGGGCGGACTTGTTCTCCCTCAGCTCCCGGGTAGCCACCTGGGCCACCTCATCTGGAAGGCCGCTAAGCGCGGCCTTCTCACTGTTTGCAGTACCCCACTGGTAAGACATGATTACTCGCGCCGTTGTCATGGTTCTAGACTGCAGTCAGAGAACAATCAACTCACCAACCAACCATCTCACAGCCACTAAAAGCGCTTGATTCAGCACCCAGGGGTGTTCAAAAAAGCCCGCCAACTATGTCTATCGTGAATCAAATGAATCTGGTGAAAGGTGTTCGTCACACGAATGAAGCTGATTCATCATCGCGTATATCTATCATATGCACGCGGAATGATTTTTTTTGCACGTAAAAGAGATACACGAAATTTCGTTCTTAAAAAGCTAAAATATATTGTAAAACAGTGTAAGCATATTAGTATTAAGGGTTATTTTGGGGGGTGTTTCGAAAAGTCAGTTACGAAAACTACTTCATTACATACATTCACAAAGAGGATGCATTGGTAACAGAGATTCAGGCCTTTACCTCACCAAACCCTCGTTCTGTACTTTCGTTTCGCAAACTACTAATTAATTGACTCACTGGAGCAGAGTCCTTGTTGAGAAGTTGATTTTCACTCAGCTGGTTATGAAAGTCTCCGCCTTCTACTGAACCGAACAATTCATTACCCTGCTCAGAAGAGCCCTCCACTGTACTGTATCCCGAGCCAGTTGAATCCAGTCCACATTATAACGCACTGTTTCTGTAAATGTCCATTTTAATATTATCTTTCCGTCCACTCCTATTTTAGTGATCAACATATTTTAATTTTCTAGGTATTTTGAAGGGTTACTAAGCTCTCTTTGTTTTCTAGGTCAACACCCCAAAAATAAACATTAGACACGATCCTGAGCCAGTTTAGTTCATTTCTCATCCTCTCATCCTAAAGTCCATCTTAATAGTATCTTTCTATCTCCTATTTCTGACAGTCGAATGTTTTCCAAGAGGCTTCTCCACCACACTTCTGTAAGCATTAATCATCTCCCCAGTTCTAGTCAAAACGTCATTCCTTTTGTTCAAAAATTCCAACAATATTAAGTAACCAGTATAAATTTTAAAAATAACTTATGTAATGTTCTGATGCGCTCACTCGCTCAATCCCTCATAAATATTTTCCTCGGCATTTCTTCAACCACTTGTAATTTATGTTATTCCCTCGGAGCAACGGTCCACGTTTCAGATCCGTACAAAACAACAGGCAAAATTACTGTTTCGTATTTCCTGATCGACCGCTACGGTGGTCTAGCGGTTAGAACGCTGGCCTTGTAATCCTGGGGTCTCGGGTTCGATTCCCGGCGGTGCCCGAATTTATAACTTGTGTTGGGAAAGGCCGTGGTCGAGGCAACACGGAGTTTTCCTCCGTGGCATCCCAACAATTACTCCATTCACACACAGAAGAAGGCAATGGCAAACCACTTCTGGATCATCTGCCAAGAACGTATATGAACAGGTCCCAGTCCGAGAAAAAG